TGTCAACCTTGCTTTCCAAAATAATCAAGACACAATAGTCCAACGGATTGGTATCCGGAGATTTTGGTGGTCATTGAGCGTTGGAAATGAAGCAACCATTCATTGGTGGCACGTGGCGTGTCCAAGGTCTGCAGCCAACATTTTTGCGTGCCCAAGGCTTTAATACACTCTCCAGAATATTTTCGGGATAATATTCGGCATTTATTCTAATGCCACGGTCGATTAATACGAGCGGAGAGCGACCATCGGCTGTTATGGCGGGCCACAACATCACCATGACCGGCGCTTGAGTTCTGGTAGACAACCAAAGGTGCATATTTTCTGCTGCTGGACAACGAATTTTTTCTCATCGGAGAAAACCAAGTTCGGCAGTTCACCACTTTCGGCCAAGCGAAGCAGCTCTTTTGGGTTTATTTTCAATGGCTTTACCCCGAATTTCAATGGCTTTACCCCGAGATCATTTTTCAATATTTGCCGAAGATTTATTCACATTTAAATGCTGGAGGGCTCTAACGATAGCCACTTGTGGTTTTCCAGCCAAATATAAATAAATCACACTATCACGCTTGAATCCCATCACGAATAACTTTTTTTTCTGGAAAATTCTCACCAAAATTCTTTTGTACGCTTGTAAACAATACAATAAGTTGTCACTGGAATATTTTTAACAGCTGTCGGACGATTGGCATAGAAATAACAGCAGTCTGAAATTGGTTGCAGTTTTTTATCGCACCCTCTACAATAGGTAGGCATGCTTATATGGGATATCCGGATATTCGTCTGTTGTAATCACGCTAGATTCAAAATCAGTCTTTTGTCTGCAGACAGGTCAAGTTCGAAGATGGGCTATATCGGTCCACGATATCGTATAGCTTCCATATAACGGTACCCCACCGATATTCGGTATTTTTATGATTTTAGCCAAATTTTTCAATGAAATTGTCAGAAAACTCCACAAAAGGAATTCCTTCTGAGTACTTTACCCCCTGGAAGAGTATTGTCTATATAAGTCCACGATATCATATAGGCCACATCGAACGCTACCCTCGATATTCGTTATTTCGACGATTTTCGGGACATTATTAATCGGAATTGTTTCAAATTTCGTATTTAGAATTTGTAATGGGTATTACAGGCTATGACAAAAATGTCGTTTGCAGGCCCACGTCTTCGTATAGCCTCCTTATAACTGTCCCTCCCAATATACGGTATTTTGATGATTTTAGCGACATTATTTACCGGAGTTGTTTAAAATTTCGTATTTCGAGTTCGTAATGGGAACTACAGTCTATGACAGAAAATTTTCTATGCCGGTCCAGGTCTTCCTATAGGCCCCATATATCAATACCTCCCTATATTCGGTATTTTGACGTTTTATCGAAATTGTTTGAAATTTCATATTTGAAGTTCTTAATAGGTGCTACAGCCTGTGACTGAAAATTGCCTATGCAAATCCAGGTCTTCCTATAGGCCCCATATATCAGTACCTCCCTATATTCGGTATTTTGACGATTTTAGGCACATTCTTCACCGGATTCTTTTCAAGTTTCGTATTTGAATATTTAGGTTACTTCGCGATGTAAACTTTCAAAACGCCGATACACTTCTCTTCCTTTTCAGCTCTACTTTCATAATCTGTTGGATTCTCTCTTTAATTATTGGATAAATTGAATTTTGTCGCACAGTGTAATCGACTGTGTTTTTCCTGCAATTGTTTGTTTGCTGCACAGTGTAATAATGCTAAAATGTGAGTACCGTTATTTGAGGACTCTTAATTAATGCAATGTTATGGCCTAACAAGGACACTACCATGCTCATAACAACTACAAACTCCAACCTCGATAATAAGCACCTTACGGACCCATAACATTTATTAATTCCTTTTATTCTACCCAGACAATTAATTACCTTCCAAGAGCAACACACGTTTGATATTTCTTCTATTCATTTCTATTTGAATATAATTTCTCAGACTTATCGACAACCAGTTTAGTTAAAAATTAATGACTTGAAGAAATATAGAATGTCAGCGTAAGTTAGCTATTCCCAAATCTTTTTCTATTTGCACTGGAAATAAACTATATAAATTATACAATTATAAATAGTAAAAGACCAGGGTTAAAGTCTAAAATCAGACTTGCTGTCGATACAATTTGAAATAAAGGCCCCGATGTAGTTTCCCATAAAACACATTAAAAGTAGGCTTATAAAATTCAATCAGCAACTGTTAATGTTATTAAATGGCATCAATAAATAAAATTTTATTGCGGAAGGTGTTGACCTCACATGTCATTCTGGTTACTTTCAATGTGAGGGAAATGTTTTGTTGTAAGTGTAAATAGAATTGTTAAATTTTTAAGAGAAAATACGAATTTTACAATTATAAAAGATTTACAGATAATCTTATTCAAGACTTACATATCACACTATCACGCTTAAATTCCATCACGAATAACTTTTTTTTCTGGAAAATTCTCACCAAAATGCTTTTGTACGCTTGTAAACAATATAATAAGCTGTCACTGAAATAATTTTAACAGCTGTCGGACGAGTGGCTTAGAAATGAGAGCAGTCTGAAGTTGATTACAGTTTTTTTCATTTTAGCCTGTATGTTTCATCTGATTTGGTGTTTAAGTCCCTCACATTCGTAATATGCATTCGATAAAAATGAGATTTGGTACCAGATATCAGATACAGCCCAGAAATACCTCTGCCAAATTTTATCAAGATCGGTTCAGTTTTGGATATAGCTCCCATATATATCTTGAACCGATTTCGGGTTAATTGTGCACAAAATGACCAATATCAGTCCAAATGACCTGCATTTTGGGACATCCGACCGAATTCAATCTAGATGCAAGTACATCAAATTCGAAGAAAATCTTTTCGTGTATAGCTATATAGGTTTCATCCGATTTGGTTTCATCACAAGTGGAGTGAATTTCGGAACGTACGTTTCCATTTTGTGGAACTCGGCTCCGATATATGGAAATCACTCTAGCTTCCGAACGAAATGAAGTAGGTTGATAAAATTTTACTCAAATGTGTATTGTGTCTGCATGACTTTTGGAATTGAAAATGGGTGATGTAGGTACACGTTATTCGGTACCAATATTCGGTATTTTGATGGTTTTTGTGACATTTTCCACTGATTTGTCTAGAAATCGGTATTTTTAGTTCGCAATGAGTTCTAGCTAATGTGGCGGAACATAGAATATATAGTTCCACGTTATATTATAGCCTCCATATAATAGTACCTCCCTATATTTGGTGTTTTGATGATTTTTGTCACATTTTTCCAAGTATTTGTTCAAACAGTAGTATTTGTAGTTCGTATTGGGTTTTGCTCCGGTGGCAGAACATTGAATATTTGGGTCCATGTTTTCCAATAGCGCATATACACTCGCCGATATTCGGTATTTTAATATTCCTAATCACATTTAAGATTTGGTAGATGAAAGTCCTTTTCCTTTTGGTATGAACCCCATATAGCGGGCTCACCCACTTTAGCATTATCCAAACGGTCCTACTCTTATTTGTAGTTCAAAGTGGAACACGTTCGAATTCAAATACTTTTATATAAAAATGTGTTTTTTTTAACGAATGGCGGAGGGTTTTAAAAGTTCGGCCCGGTCGAACTTAATTTTTTTCCTTTTTATCGAAAAGTTTTGTCCAGCGACGAATCTTATTTTTGGCTCAATGGAGAGCAAAATCTACCAATGCATAGTGCATAGCGAACCGTACTTCTTAAAAGGAGCTGTGAATCATAACGTAACTGTGAATTCTGAGCACTACCGTGAGATTATACCCACCTTGTTTGCCCAAACTACAAGAGTTTGATTTGCCTGGTCAAAGCTCATGTCCATAGAAACAGCCCCGCTTTAATTAACACATTCGAAAACGACATTGAAGTATTTTTTTTTTTTTTTTTTTTTTTTTTTTTTTTTTTTTTTTTTTTAGATACCGATCTAAATGTATGAAATAGTAGTCCGGGTCCAAACATCTCTGGATCCAGGAAAGATTGGATTGTTAGCAATAATTTGGTTTATATTCTATGAACTTCCATAATGGACCTTTTTCCACTTTTTGGAGGTTTTATTAACAAATTGGGGTCAAAAAACTTATTATCTGGATATAACTTCCCGAATAACTTCTCGTTGGAAATATAGTTTCATTAGCTTTCAAAAGATACCTATATTGTCCATATTGTTTGAGTAGATTCGTTTCTAACCCGGGTAATGAACACGGAATTTCGGGGCCGGAACCTGGAATTTCGAAATCCATTCCGTCCCCCAAGAAAAAATACTTTCCCGAAATCAGAGCACAAATTCTTACCTCTAGAAAAAATTGCATAAAAATCTGAGAGATTTTACGAAGTTAGAGATATTCCCATAGATGGTCTGTCAGAAATTGTGACGTATATGACATACTTTTCCGACGTATCATACATTCGTGGACACATGGATGCTTAATTCTTGTTCTATGAAAATCTGAAAGGAAAATTTTAACAAAGGCGAAAATTGCGAAATGAAAATTTTTATAAAGAAAAGAATTTTCATTTCATATTTTCATAGAACAAAAAACCAATCTCAGGTTTTAAGCTCTTTGAAGTAACTTGGCAGGATTTGGGAAATTAACACAAGAAATCTATCATCATTATGATTAGCGAGGTTTCAATAATACGACCTAAATGTTATCAACCAACTTAGAATGTATTATGTGGTATATTAAAATATTTTAGCAGTTTATGACATTTTATAGTTTTTTTACGTTTTACACATTTATATGACGTTTACAACTTTTCGACAGTCGAAACCTAAAATTAAAACGGACCAATTCTGGTTATTCCAAATAATCTTCAAACATGAAATTCTATAAATATTATGTGTTCTTTGTGAAAATCGTTCCTATAACTCTTAAATCATCACCCTTTACAATATATTCCCATATAACCAACGAAACCATTGAAATTAATTATAACTGCAAGCCATGCTACTCACTTTGAAGGTTTTGACAGCGGATGCAATCTGCTTGAGGGATTTGTAATACCAGTTTCAGACAAAGTAAAGCCGGATGAGAATCGCTGAGGCGAACCAAGATTTTCCAAACGAGATGTGAAAACAAAAGCGAAGACACAAAAAAACTAGATTTTACACTTTTCAATAAAAAAAAAAAAAGAAGAATAAAAAATTATAACTTTTTAATTGCACGAGTTTTTTATTTAATTTCGAAATTATTTATGCTAATTGCATTTTAACGCGATGTTGTCAAAACCGGCATTGATGCACTATTTTTAGAATATTCAAGTATTCAATTTCAACAACTACAACACTTGATACATTTGGTGTTGTTGTTTTGTCTCCAAACGCACTTTTCTGGTCTTTTGTTTTGTTTTGTTTAACAACATCAAAACAAGAATTTACAAGAAAGAAAACACCAACAAAAGAGAGTAAGTGTAACAAAACTATGCCGTAGAAGAAAAAAATTCAAAACAAAAAAATAAAATTAATTTCCATGGCACTTTACCCACTGGCCGTCGTCGATTGCAGCAAAATATTGAGCGCCAAATGCTGATCTCGCGCACAAAAAAAAAACAACAAAATACCAGTTTCACTTTCCGTTGTTGTCCGTCTCTATTTTAATTTTTTGTTTTGGAATTTGATTTGTTTAACGACAGAAAAAAAAACACAAAACTATTACAACAACGCACTCTGTCGCACAGTGTCGCCTCAGTTCGTTGTAAAAGACACAAAACAAATAAACGACGAAGAAGACGAAATAAAAAGAAATTATTACCCGATGATGATGACGATTCGCTGAATGTTGTGTTTTCAAATTCGCTTTATATCCAAAATTTGTTTAAAATTGTTTATTACAAAATACTATTTATTTATTTTTTTATTTGGTTACTTGGATTTTCTATTTCTTTATTTAGAGTAAGAAACACACACACTCCACGGTTTAGGGGTTTTTATTATTTGCTACGAATGTTTAACCGCTCACAACAACTGTTGCCACCAATCGCCGCTATTGAACTGAGCTTAAACTTAGTACAGAGGCTTAAAAACACCAGCGAAAATATCATCAAATCCCCCAGGTTTTTTTTAACAACCAACCAGTCAGTCAGTTAGCCCGCCAGCCAATCGACCCATCCAACCAACAACAATGCCAATCAGTCGGTGAGGTGCATTTACTGCCTTCTCACGCTCTCAATGCTATCGATCGAACGAACACACTCAGAGCTTAACTAAAGAGAACTCTCAGCATTGGCTTAAAAATGTTGCTAAACAGTTGGACCTACCGGAGCAACATACAAATGTTGGAACAAAAGACGTTATATTTTCATATTTGAATTGGTAATAAAAATAGAACGACATATATTAAGAGTGATTTTTTATACCCTCCACCTTGAAAGGGAGGGTTTATTAAAATTGTCGTTCGGTTTCTAACAACCCTAAATATTCGTCTTAGACCTCATAAAGTATATATATTCATGATCAGCATAAAATTCTAAGTCGATTTAACGATGTCCGTCTGTCTGTCTGTTGAAATCCCGATACAGCCAACATGATTTGACGCAGAGCTTCAAAATTTGGCAGAACAATTTGTATTGTGACTAGGATGGTTGTGATTCAAATCGAGATATGTCGGTCTACGTTTTGGTATAGCCGCCATGTAACAGTACCTCCCGATATTCGGTATTCTGATGATTTGCGCCACACATTTTTCACGGATTTGAAATTGGAAATTGGTATTTATAGGTCATAATGGGTTCTAGCTACGGTGACGAAACATTGTATGTATAGGTCCACGTTTTTGTATAGCCCCCATATAACGGTACCTTCCGATATTCAGTAATTTGATGTTTTTTCCCAATTTGTTTGGTAATGGGTTCTAGCTTATTTGACGGATTTTTAATGTTTTTTTTTTAACTTCATTGAATGAAAGCAAAAATGTCGGAAATAGCATGAAATTTTAAAATAAGTCAGGATTTGTTCGAATCAGTCACCTTTGGTACGAATTATGGCCTTCAAACAGCCAATGAAACCGTCACACGCTGTCCGAATGTTGTTCTGCGGTATTTTGGTTCATTCCCGGCGAAGAGCTTGCTTGAGGTGATCGACACTTTGGTATTTTTTAGTGCCAATCTTGCTTTCCAGACACAATAGTCCAACGGATTGATAGCCGGAAATTTTGGTGGCCATTTTGCGCTGGAAATGAAGCGAGGAACTTCATTTTGTAACTATTCTTGGGTGGCCCGTGCTAAGTGCGATATTGCTGAATCCTGTTAGAATGTCCATGATCCGCGGCCAAAATGTTTGCGTGCCCAAGAATATTTTCGGCATTTATTCTGATGCCACGCTCGATTAATACGAGCGGAGAGAGACCATCGGATGTAATGGCGTCCCACACCATCACCATGGCCGGCGCTTGAGTTCTGGTGGCCAACCGAAGGTGCACATTTTGAGCTGACCTCTTTGGCAAGTAAACACGATCATTTTTTTTGTTTACAAACTGCTGAGCAACGAATGTTTTCTCATCGGAGAAAACCAAATTCGGCAGTTCACCACTTTCGGCCAAGTGAAGCAACTCTTTAGCTCTTTTGAGTCTATTTTCTTTCAGTTGTTGTGTAAGTTCTTGCACTTTTGGAATTTCAATGGCTTTACCCCAACCCGAGCTCATTTTTTCAATATTTTTTTTTCTTTACTTTTCGAACCATTTCTGCTGATGTTGCTGTTTTCTTCCGTCCAGTTCCTTGACGTTGGGCTACGCTACCAGTATCACTGTAACGAGTGATTGTACGAGACACAAAAGATTTATTTACATTTAAATGCTGGAGTGCTCTAACGTGTGTGTGTGTCAGGATATTTGGACTCGGTCTAAGGATGTCCGTTCGTCCGTCCGCTTGTCTGGCTGATGCGCACGATAACACTCAAAAGGAGTATGCGATTTCGTCCAAACTTGTTACATATTATTATCAAACTTTAATTGAGTTCGGAGATGCGCAATATCGGTCCACTCCCCCGCAAAAGGTCGAAATTTTCAAAGAAAATGTTTTATTGCAGAGAGAGAGAGAGAGAGAGAAAGGATAGTCCGATTTTGCTCCCACTTTGAAAATCGTAATATTTGTATCAGCTAGGTCAGGTGCGAAAATGGACAATATCGGTCCACTCCACCAAGTACCTTCCCCACAAAGAGTCAAACATTGTAATAATTGTAACTCTTATAAAATATGATATAAGAGTCCGATTGTCTTCAAATTAAACACATCACAATATTTTTATTAACCCAAGGTCTGGGGTAAATATGGAATACATCGGTCCACTTCTTCTGGTACATCTCCCACAAAAGGCCAACATTTTGAAAACATTTGAAGCTCATAAAACGCTTGGTACATATCAATATTTCCATCAACACAAGATCTGTTATAAAAATGGAGAGATCGGACCATTCCTTTTTGTACATCCCCCACAAAGGGTTACAATTTTGAATAACCAAAACGATCATAAAATCCGAAATAAGCATTCAGTTCACTTCAAATCACACACATCACAATATTTTTATTAACCAAAGTTCTGGTGTGTAGATGGCATATATCGGTCCACTCCTTCTGGTACCTCCCCCACGAAGGTTCAAAATTTGGAAAATCTATGAAGCTCAATTGACATCATATTCCATTCAGACTTGGCACTGCTCAATATTTCTATTAACACAAGATCTTTTATAAAAATGGTAGAGATCGGACCATTCCTTCTTGTACCTCCCCCACAAGGGATCAAATATTCCATCAACACAAGATCTGAGTAAAGATGACCTTTCTTCTGGTACCTCCCCCACATAGGGTTGAAGATTTAAAAAAAAAACAAAACGCTCAAATAAGCGAAAGAAACATCCAACTCTCTTTAAATTTCACACATCCAAATATTTTTGCTAACGCAGGTTCGCAGTGAAGATGATATTGATCTGCGAACCCCTTTCGGTACCTAACCCACAAAGTTTCTTTGAAGCTGAGCAACCTTTCTTATGGAGCGAGCCATGATGAATTTTATCGAAATTTATGATTTCGCATAAAATTGGATATAAATTGCCGATTTCCTTCAAATTTTACCAATATTTTTATCTGTATTAGATTAAGTATGAAAATGGAATAATTCGGTCCGCTATATCTGTTACCTCACGTTTTTTTCCACATTTTCCAAAGATTTGCTTATCTCATATAAAGTATAGGAAGTAGTCGATATAGTCCAAACCTTTCACGTTGTAATATTTATATCAGTCTTAGGTCAGATACGAATTGGTCAATATTGGCCAACATCGACACCTCCCCCATAAAAAGTCAACAGTTTGAATAATCATAACTCAAGGCTGGGTTTATACATCTGTCGATAAAACCGACTGATACTATTTTACTTGTTTTTAGTACATTTCAGTATTTTTCGTACCTTTTTAGTTCGTATTTCTAAAACACCACACGTCAACGCACCAAAATTGACCCTCATGCAAAATCCAAAAGAAAAGTACAGGCTAAGTTCGAAAATTCTGGCTTCAAAAATATAGAATTATAGTCCAAAAACAAAATTATTAGTACCTTTTTCAGTACGAAATTCCAAAAATAGTACCATACTCATGTCACACATGCGAAATTTTACTAGAATATTAAAAGAAAATATGTAATATCCGCAAAATACATTGTTTACAGTGTTTTCAAATGGAATTGTGTTAGTTTAGTATTGAGGTATGTCAATTCGGTACAAAAAAAAATCATCGCAACCGGTGCACATTCTGGAATAGCCGCATGCAACGGTGCTGCCAAATTTCTGGTATAATAAAAAAAACTACCTCTATTTGGTAATGGACCCCCTTCGTCAATGGTTGTTCAATCTTTAAAGTGTCAAATCCATATTCCAGGTTGTTAAAATCTACTAGCTGCAATATAAACACCACAAATCAATTAAAATGATAGCTGTATATAATAAAAAATCTGTCTTTTATTCAAATTGTATAGAAAACTATTATAATTATCATTTTTTATAGGACTTATTTAAGTGATTTACCACTTTGTTGATAAATAATTGTTTTGTAATGCCGTGACAATGCAAATTCGAAAGAATAGCCTCAACATTTGTTTGTCGGTTAGTATCATTTTTTTATTTCAATAAAACGAGAATTTATTTCGTTATTAAGTAGAGGTTATTAAAGATTTACATGTTGAGGGGATAATAAATAGGTACATGCAATTATTTATTACCAATATTGAATCAATATATATTCAAAATGTCAAATTCTTGCAAACTCCAGAAAAATATTAAGACCATTGTTATATAATTATTAATGACAGGTGTATATTTTTTAAGCAATCATTGAAAAGATATATCGTTCTATTAAAGCAGTAAGGTCGGCCGAACTTTGAATACCCTCCACCATTTGGAATGAATTTGGAAATTTTCAAAAAACTAAAATCCGTTAAAAATTTTGTTCAAATTTTAAAAATACCGAATATAGCCGTTATTTTGGGTTCTCTACGACGTGTACCTACATTAGGCCGAAACTTGAAGTAAACTGTGAATAATGTAACTAAAATCATCAAAATACCGTATATAGGGAGGTACCGTTATATCGGAGTTATACGAAGACCTGGACCTGCATAGACAATTTTCTGTCACAGGCTGTAGTTCCCATTACGAGCTGTAAATACGTAATTTGAAACTACTCCGGCGAATAATGACGCTAAAACTATCAAAAAATACCGAATATCGGGGGGTACCGTTACATGGGGGATATAAGAAGACGTGAATCTGCATAGACAATTTTCTGTCTTAGGCTGTAGTATCCATTACGAACTTCAAATACGACATCTCAAAAAATTCGGTGAGTATTGTACCTAAAATCTTCAAAATACCGAATATAGGGAGGTACTGATATATGTTGCCCATACGAAGACCTGGACTAGCATACACAATTTTCTGTTACAGACTGTAGTTCCCATTACGAGCTGTAAATACGTAATTTGAAACTTCTCCGGTGAATAATGACGCTAAAATT